TGTGTGTGTGTGTGTGTGTGTGTGTGTGTGTGTGTGTGTGTGTGTGTGTGTGTGCGTGCGTGTGCGTGTGCGTGTGCGTGTGCGTGTGCGTGCGCGTGTGCGTGTTCGTGCGCGTGCGTGCGCGTGCGTGTGTGTGCGTGTGTGTACGTGTGTGCGTTGCATGGGATTTTGCATTATTAAATTATTGGTCGATACGCGAAGTCCAAAAATGCTATATTCAGGCACTAGCATTAAATATACACTTTATATTTCGAACATAAACAACCTAAATTACCTAACCTAAATAAAGAACCTAAACAAGTAAAGGAAATCCTCTGTAAGATTTGCCAATTCATGCATCAAATTAGCGCAGTTCTATAGTCACGTAACACCGATCAGACGCATCGCATCACACGCATCACACGCATCGCTGCCATGCATTGTGTTCAAGCAATGTTTGATAGTTTGATTGTTAGGACCTAAATTATTCGAATAAACAGCTGAAGAAATACGAAAGATATTCGGCTGTCTATCGCTACTTTCTTATAATCTCTGGTTAACAGTAAATGCTCTTGTTTAACTACTGGGGTGTATAGGCGGTTATGAGTGTCATATATGTATGTAATATACATGTTTATAATATATGCATCTATATACGAAATATATATAATGTCTCTTTTTCGTTTTTGTGTTTTGTTTTGAAGTAAGAAAAAAGAAAAGACGGTATATACACGGACCGAGCATGTCACGTATCGTGACAAGAAATCCGGTATTTACCGTGAAAATATTAATTTTAAAATAAAATGGCCGCTACGATGTGCGGTGGGGGCAAGTGGACAGGAACAGTTTCCAAAGTTCTTGCTCAATATTAATAATTATAATTCATAATGCAATATGATCTGACATATTATGTAACGAATAGGTTTGTTAGTAGTTTAAAGTTCAAAGCGATGTTGCGGTGCATGCTATAGCGGTATTTTTTTAGCTACATTTGATTAGTAGGCCTATATGCTAGACATTTCTGCCTATTTCTCTTGATTTTGAATATTTATAGAAAAAAAACGATTAAAGTGATTACGTTACCGTAAATAGTAAAGAATGAAAAAAATATTTCCACTTTTTCACAAAATATAAGTAATTCTGTTCACATTTTATGGTTAAATTGCTTCATTATACTTCCTATTTTACTATGTGAATATACACTCGTGACCCATACATAGCCCATAGCAAGCAATTAATGTTGAGAACATTAATTCAAATCGTCCAGGTTTTTTGGATTTTTAACTAGTTGAGAAACAATCTTACCAGGTAAGAATTTGACGATTTGTTTAGTCCCGTTAGTTCTTACTTTTAATGTAAAGAAAAAAAAAAAATTTTAAACACATTTTACCATAGAAAATTCGTTCGTATTTAAGGACGAGGATTTGATGTTTAATGTAACGTTTCAGTCTATGTAAATTAAGTTACGCGTAATTAATCAAAGATAGACTAAGGCTACTATAAGGAATCGTACATGGTTTTCGCTTGTCACTCCCTTCTCAGTCGGCCCTAGTAACAGCGATATTTACTCCTGATTTTACATTTAATCAAACAAATATTGCCTTGTTAATCGCCGAATAGATGTTTAGTAGGCCTCTATAATTAAAGGTACCCCCAAAGTCTAACAATCATTCAAAGAGAATGACTGTAATGTACGCAAGGATTTCAAAAACGTCCTGCATAAAAATGTCCTTATATATGAAATACCAGCAAAGAACCTGCCAATAAGAACAGGGTTTTATCACATTTTGCGTCTTTCTCTCTATTTCTCCGTTTTACTAAATCTAATATACTACTCTCGCCTATTCGTTCAAATGCAGTTTCTTTCACCACATTAGTCATCGGCGGGGAGAAACCGTGTTCATTCTAGGTGGCAACACCGCTCACAGGCAACATTGGTTTTAATGAGTAGGACTATCATTGGTTTAACATTCATGGAACGAGACATATTCTGCACTAATTGCATTGCAGTATTCTTAAAATTTACTTAACTATATGATCAATATAAATATATTCCCCAGCGGGCAAAAGACGTTGAAACAAACGTTGTTTTAACGTTGATATTTCGACGTTGTTTTACCGTTGACATTTCAAGGTAAAATGGTTCACTCAGGGTTGAATAAAATTATTTTGGGGTGAATGAAACTATACTAGTATACCAAAAACAATGATATTAGTCGAGAGTGAATGACACTGAAATAGTTTAAGATTTTTTTCTCTCTCTCTCTCTCTCTCTCTCTCTCACACACACACACACACACACTGCATGAATACATACTCAGCCTTCCCAGATTGACTGCACTGTTTTAATTATTTGAAGCCAATACGACCACACCACGCACACGAACGCCATCACACACACACACACACACACACACACACACACACACACACACACACACACAACACACACACCACAGCGACACCGCGCGCCGCGCGCGCGCGCGCGGCGTACTGCAGTGTAATGCCTATGCCTATGGTTCAGTAGTTGTGCTCAGACTGCCGGCTTTTCACGGCAAAGACTGGCTGCCCGTTATGCATGACCGTTGAACGTACGGGGCGCCATGCAGGACAGGCATCTTTGTACCTATAAACTGACAAAAAATGAGTTTTGTGAACACAAAACCAATGACTGGTCAATTCTGTCCCGACAAAACCTGTCGAATTTGGAACAAAAATCTGCAACTTTGTAACACAAAAACTCAATTTGTGAACACAAACTGCAACCTTCTGTCGAACCGGTTGCGCGAGCAAAACTGGCATCTGGTAAACACAAACCTCAATTCTTCAACCGTTTCCACAAAACGTAGCATTTTGAAACAACATACCCAATCGTCGAACCGGTTCCAAAGATCCAAAACCAAGTTTGTTGCCGCAAAATATGGCCACACGCTAATGTAAAGAAGGCTACCCATTGCGTCGAAACTGGCTGGAGAAAAGTTCATGTCCGCCATCTTGTTTCTTCTGACCAACACATGTACGCCTTTCTTACATTGCGGTGCCAATTGGAAACAAAATCGAGTTTTGGGAACCGGTCGACAGCAAATGAGTTTGGTTTACAAAATGAAGTTTGGTGGGACAGGATGACAGAATTGATTGTGTCACAAACATTGATTTGTGGACAGGATTGAACAGAATTGAGTTTTGTTTTACAAAATGTGAGTTTGTGAACCGGTTCGACAAGGAATTGAGTTCTGTGTTTACAAAATTGATCGTTTTGTGGAACGCGGTTCGAACAGAATTGAGTTTGTTTTACAAAAATGACTTTTGCGTAGAACCGGATTCGAGCAAAATTTGAAGGCCCTGTCCTGCATGGCGCCCCGTAGAACGCGCGCTCGGCGTAGACTGGCCCCTGCCCGTTCTGCTGTACTGTTATCGGCAGCCGCTGTTAGCACGCAGCAAATAGGACGCGACCCAGGGAACGACTAGGTAATCGCGAACATACGGGCCAGGGCGAGTTGCGTGTGACGGTTTGTGCGGTTCACTATATGCGCGCTCTCACATATATCACGGCTGCACAACCTGAGATGTTACGACGAATATATATTAATTGTGTGTGGGTATGTGTGTGTGCGCGCGTCTCTTTCTCTCCTGTGCGCTTGTGCATGCTCACGTACGTGTGCGCGTCCGCGTGAATGTGAATAAAAGGTGGTTGTATAAAATATCGACCAATGTTTAACGTTGAAACAACGCCAGTTTCAACGTTGAATAGACGTTGTATATGCATCTCAACGTAGAATAAACGTTGTATTTTTTGTGTCAAAAATCTCAACAAAATTTTAACCAATATTAACGTTGAAACAACGTTATGGACGTTGTGCATTTAATAGACGTTGTGCATTTAAACGTTAAAAAGGTCGACAATGTATTTTGTAGTGTCCAATATCGCAACATCTCGCGTGAATGTCCTGAGGAGAGGCAGGAGAGAGGAAATACCGGTGGAGGCCCAGAGTGTTAAAACTGTGGCAAGCGTGGCCAAATTGCCTGTGAGTGCCCCGACAAGGAGCGTTACGATGACCGGCGCAAGTGCTACACCTGTGGCGAACGTATATAATTACCCCGGCCACATCTCACGCGACTGCCCCGAACAACAAGAGTAGTTCGCTCGCCTATCCTGTGTATTCGAGGGCTAGAGGTTGGCTTGCCCCTCTGCTCGCACCAGTGTGGGTGTGTTACTACTTGCTGGGCCGCCAATCTGAAGCATGGCAGTTTTTGTTTAGTTTATACTAGTTGGGTGTGGGTTGTGAGGGTCTACAGAGCATTTATGAGTTAAGTGCCCGAGGGTCAATAAATACCCATCTGCCGGTAATAACGTTGGTCCTAGACTCCTGGGGAGTCGAAAGAGTAGACGGCATACGGCAGAGGTGGAGTCGTCCAGAAGCCATTGTATGCCTTGGGGGTATTGAGGTGCGATGCATGCTTGATACTGGTGCACAAGTCTCCTCGATGACAGAAGTATTCTATCATAGGTGTCTGTCAACCTAACATGACTTGGTGGATGCACTGAAAAGTATAAGAATATCCGCGGCAAATGGTCAAGACATGCCCTTCCGGGGCTATGTTGAGTTAGTCGTGTCCGTATAGCTGGTCAGATTTTCCCTTATCTATAGGCTTTCTGGTCGTAGCTGATCCGGTTGACCCATCG